AAATTCAAGGTCGTGTTTAATAATATGATCTTTCTAGATCTTAATGATATCAGCGTATATCATCCTTAAGAATATTACTTATATTGCAACATCCGTAGGTGTTATGTTGTTATATTAGTAACAGCCAAAGTCCATAGTTGTAGAAATTCTCAAAACCTCTTTAGAAAAGGACTTAGTGTGCTGAGAGTGTTTATAAATGAGGGAGAACCTTGGAAATTTTAGCATACATTGTCTTTATATTTTTTTCCCTTCTGATACTAGCATGTGTTTTCATTGATAATGCATTAATTTTTTTTCCTTCTGTCACCCATGCTGGAGTGCAGTAGCAACAGCCTCAGCTCACTGCAGCCTCTGCCTCCTGGGTTCAACTGTCAGCCTCCTAGCTGGCAATTATAGCCACGGGCCACCAAGCCTAGCTAATTTTTTTTATTTTTAGTGGAGATGGGTTTCACCATGTTGGCCAGATTGGTCTCAAACTCATGACCTCAGGTGATCTGCCTGCCTTGGCCTCCTAAAGTGCTGGGATTACAGGTGCGAACCATCATGCCCAGCCAATCATGCATAGATTAAAAAAAAAAAAAACCATCCCCCCCACCCAGGTAATGCATAGATTTCATAAACTGTCACAGTGGATTAATAACTGGCAAAGCACTGTCTTTTCTGTGACTCATCTGTTTAAATTTGCTTACTTTAATTATTTTTAGACTTGATAGAATTGAGAGTTGATGAACAAGACAGAATTCTTGAGAAGTATTATGTTCACATTTCTCATAGCTTGTGTTTTATGTTTGGGCCAGAAAAGATTTCAGAGAAATGAAGTACAATTTTTTTCCTAACTAGGATTTATTGATGCTCTGTATAGATTCAGATTGCCAAAATTTACTACAGAGTCTGGCTCTGTGGCCCAGGTGGAGTGCAGTGGTGCAATCTTGGCTCACTGCAGTGTCTGCCTCCCAGGTTCAAGTGATTCTTGTGCTTCAGCCTCCTGAGTAGTTGGGATTACAGGTGTTTGCACCATGCCTGGCTAATTTTTCGTATTTTTTTTTTTTTAGATGGAGTTTCACTCTTGTTACCCAGGCTGGAGTGCAACGGCGCGGTCTCGGCTCACCGCGACCTCCGCCGCCTGGGTTCAGGCAATTCTCCTGCCTCAGCCTCCTGACTAGCTGGGATTACAGGCACGCGCCACCATGCCCAGCTAATTTTTTGTATTTTTAGTAGAGACGGGGTTTCACCATGTTGACCAGGATGGTCTCCATCTCTTGACCTCATGATCCACCCACCTTGGCCTCCCAAAGTGCTAGGATTACAGGTTTGAGCCACCGCGCCCGGCTATTTTTTGTATTTTTGGTAGAGACAGTTTCACCATGTTCTCCAGGCTCATCTTGAGCTCCCGGCCCCAAGGGATCTGTTCGCGTTGGTCTCCCAAAGTGCTGGGATTACGGGTGTGAACCACTAAGCCCAGCCCAGATTTTTTTTTTTTTAAACCTGGGAATAACAATTATTCACAAAACTTTCCGTGTGGGGTCTTCAATCAGCGAAGAACTTACCTAAGCATTCTTTTATTTATATTTATTTTTTATACTTGATTTTTTTGAGATGATGGCGTCTTTCTCCGGCACCCAGGCTGAAGTGCAGTGACATGATCATAGCTCACTGCAGTCTCAAACTTCTGGGCTCTAGCATTCCTTCTGCCCCAGCCACCTGAGTACCTGAGACTTAAAGGAATGTGCTACCACATTTAGCTAATTTCTTTCTTTCTTTTTTTTTTTTTTTCATTTTTTTTAGAGATAGGGTCTTGCTTTGTTGTTGCCCAGACTGGTCTCAAACAACATTTTTAATAATTAAAGAAACAGTGTCATCTCTGCTATCTTAATCTAAATGGTGGAAAACCAGATAAGTCAGTTTTGATAGTTGGTCAGAAATCAACTCTGCTATTATAAAATTCCAACTTCTTGTTTCTGTGTGAGAAAGTTGAATTTAAAAAAATTGTGTTTTTTAGCCAGGCTCACACCTGTAATCTCAGCACTTTGGGAGGCCAGGCTGAGGTTGGGAGTTTGAGACCAGCCTGGCCAACATGGAGAAATCCTGTCTTGACTAAAAATACAAAACTTAGCCGGGCATGTCTATAATCCCCAGCTACTCAGGAGGCTGAGGCAGGAGAATCGCTTTAACCCGGGAGGAGGAGGTTGCAGTGAGCCTAGGTCGCGCCGTTGCCATTCCAGCCCGGGTGACAAGAGTGAGACTTTGTCTCAAAAAAAAAAAAAAATGTATCTGTTATGTGTCAGACATCAAGTTTTGGGGCTAAAAAGTTGGGTAAGAAATGGTCTCTGCTCTTAAGAAACTTACTATTTGGGAAAAAGTTTGTATTCTTTTTTCAGTATGTTTTATCTGACCATGACTAATAGAGAATTAGTGAAGCCTTTGACTATTTTAGTTTAAGACTTGAGTATTTTTTTAAGCAGTGAAGCAACATAGTTTTGTTTTATTTTGAGATGGAGTCTTGTTTTGTCGCCTGGGCTTGAGTGCAGTGGCGTGATCTCGGCTCATCATAACCTCCGCCTCCCAGGTTCAAGAGATTCTCCTGCCTCAGCCTCCTGAGTAGCAGGGATTACAGACTCGCGCTGCCACGCCCAGTTAATTTTTGTATTTTTAGTAGAGATGAGTTTTCACTATGTTGGCCAGGCTGGTCTTGAACTCCTGACCTCCTGATCTACCCGTCTCAGCCTCCCAAAGTGTTGGGATTACAAGCGTGAGCCACTGTGCCTGGCCTAATTTTTTTACTGAAATGAAATTCATATTTAGTTATGTGGAATTAAAAAAATACTGCTACTGTTTCCCTTGAGCTCTTTGGTGGATATTTTCAATAGATATATTTATTTACATTAAAGGAGTGACTTTAGGAGCCAGCTACCACTTAAATGGAACTGTTCATAGTGTAAGTGGGAGACTGTAAGGGTATTTGAGGCAAATCTAATGTTGAAACTTAACTTCAGTTCTAGAGTATTGAAAATTTGGTTTAGCTAATAGCTGTTGCATGTTTCTGAAGTTGACAGTCTCAACCGAAAGTAGCATCTGTTTGGAAAATTAAATGCTAATTAAGACCCAAGTTTGCAAAATGATGTAAACTGTTAAAATGTTAAACTAATGATGAAATCATCTGCCTGCTTCAGCCTCCCAATATGCTGAGATTACAGGTGTAAGCCACCGTGCCCAGCCAACTTTTTTTTTTTTCTTTTGGTTCCCATACTGGGAGACGAATTCTTTTTTTCTTTTTGAGACAGAGTCTTGCTCTGTCGCCCAAGCTGGAGTGCAGTGATGCAATCTTGGCTCACTGCACCCTCTACCTCCTGGGTTCAAGCAGTTCTCCTGCCTCAGCCTCCTGAGTAGCTGGGATTACAGGCATATGCCACCATACCTGGCTAATTTTTTTTTGTATTTTTAGTAGAGATGGGGTTTCACCATATTGGCCAGGCTGGTTTTGAACTCCTGACCTTTGTGATCCACCTGCTTCAGCCTTCCAAAGTACTGGGATTACAGGCACCAGCCACCGCACCCAGCTCCAGCCAGCTTTTAAAGTACATTAGTGTAAGACTTAGGATCCATATTCTTGTTATTGATATCCTCAGGGCCCGAAGGCAAAATACTCCTAGTATGACTGGTAAGCTGTTTCATATTGATCTTAGTGGCTCTAGTTTTGGGGAAAATAGCAGATGTTGGTGAAATAAAGTACTAAATGGGGTAGATATTCCAGAATAATGCAAAGTTAGGTTGGGGGCGGGAAAAATAATGCAAAGATGAACTCGGTGTATCTTCACAAATTGCTTGTTTAGAAATTTATCAACCCAAATCAATCTATTTTGTCTATCCTGTTTAAAAATAAAACAGCTAAAATTTCATTTTCCTTTCTATGGTAATTAAATCTGTACGTATTCTCTGTTTGCCTGTATGTTTAAGTTTGTGATAATTTTCTCTCTTCCTCCTTGAATGAAAAGTTGGTCTTATTTCAGGTTTATTAATCAAAAAGCATTTTTTGGTAATAGCTGACAATAATTGAACTTCCTATGGGATGGGTGCCTTTCTTGGCACTCAAAGATGTTGACTTTAAATTTTCATAATTTTGATATAGTGGGAATTATTTTGAGTATAAACATCTTGTTTTGTTAACTTCTCCATTTTATTTTGAATTTTTTTATTCCATTGTAGAATGAACTAGTAAGCATATTTAGTAATTTTAGTTTTGTAGTTTCTTTTTTAAAATGATGTTATACTAAAAGTTTATCTGATTTAGATGGGCTGGAAAAAGTGATAGTTTGTCCCTGGATGTCAAAGCTATGTTGTTTAAGATTATTGCCTTTGAATCTAATATTGCCTCAACTAAAAATGTGCTTGTAACTTTACAACTGGAACACTCTTAATTGGGTTTAATAACTTAAGAAAATTGCTGGGTGCGGTGGCTTATGCCTGTAATCCCAACACTTTGGGAGGCCAAGGTGGGTGGATCACAAGGTCAGGAGTTGAGACCGGCCTGGACAACGTAGTGAAACTCTGTCTCTACTAAAAATACAAAAGTTAGCTGGGTGTGGTGGAGCATGCCTGTAGGCCCAGCTACTCAGGAGGCTGAGGCAGGAGAATCGCTTGAACCTGGGAGGTGGAGGTTGTGATGAGCTGAGATCACGCTACTGTACTCCAGCCTGGGCAACAAAGTGAGACACCATCTGGAAAAAAAAAAAAAATTATGATGGGATGTATGTTGGAAGTACATACCTTTGAGGTTCTTATATCTTTAATATTGGGGATAAATGATGAATTCTTCATAATGATTCCCCCTTTTGTATTTATAAAATTGCAATAAATTTGTATAAAATCTCAACTGGTCCTTATGGGTTCTGTTTGTTTTTATGATAGTCATCCATTTTTTAAACGACTTGCTGAAGTGTTCTTTTCTCTCAGTTGGTTTCAGCTAAATGATTGGATCTTTTCCCCTGTGTTTGATCCTTCAGGTTTGGACATATTTGACTTTTATTCCCCCAGGTTGAATTGACCAAAGCAATGGTGATGGAGAAGCCTAGTCCCCTGCTGGTCGGGCGGGAATTTGTGAGACAGTATTACACACTGCTGAACCAGGCCCCAGATATGCTGCATAGGTAAGATATTTTTCTCCGGCATCATCTAATGCTGTGTTTTAGTATGTGGTACTTAAGAGATTCTCCCACTCATCATCTTGTGCCTTGTAGGGTTGTTGCATAATACTTATTTGCATATAAGTATCCCCCAGTTTTTTTTTTGAGACAGAGTCTCTGTTACCCAGACTAGAGTGCAGTGGTGCGATCTCAGCTGTCTGCAATCTTCACCTTCCCAGTTCAAGTGATTCTCCTGCCTCAGCCTTCTGCGTAGCCGGGACTGCAGGTGCTCACCACCACACCCAGCTAATTATTATTATTATTATTATTTTTAAAGTAGAGATGGGATTTCACCATGTTGGCCAGGCTGGTCTCGAAATCACAACCTCAGGTGATCAACCTGTCTCAACTTCCCAAAGTTCTGGGATTACAGGCGTGAGCCACTGTCCCTAGTCCCAAAAAATAATTTTAAAAGTTACACCGTTTTCAAGTAACCTGAAAACTGATTTATTCATTAGAGTTTATTACATTAAAAAAAAACAAAGTTAGACTAAGTTACCTAAACTTGTACATCATTGGAAAATAACAATCAAAATGTGTAGTCATGCATTATTAAGAATGTATTAAAGATTGCTGGAGCTGAGGTGGATGTAAAAAATAATGTATTAAAGACAATTCATGACTGTTCCTGTAATAATGTACTTTTGTGTTGATGTGCTTCAAAAATTGTATTACCATGTTTATATATACAGAAAAATTGTTTCTGTGGTTTTACTAGATACTTCTATAATTTGTTTTTAGTAGAAATGATACATGCTTATCGGAAATTAAAACAGATAAATTATGAAAGTATCTAGTAAAACCACAGAAACAATTTTTCTGTATATGTAGAAACATGTTTTGATACACTGTCTTTTAGCTTTTTAACTTGATAATCTGGAGTTATCTTTCCGGATAATACTTGTATCCTGTTAATTTTAGTGGCCACAAAGTTTTTTTTTTTTTTTTTTTGAGACGGAGTTTCGCCCTTGTTACCCAGGCTGGAGTGCAATGGCGCGATCTCGGCTCACCGCAACCTCCGCCTCCTGGGCTCAGGCAATTCTCCTGCCTCAGCCTCCTGAGTAGCTGGGATTACAGGCACGTGCCACCATGCCCAGCTAATTTTTTGCACTTTTAGTAGAGACGGGGTTTCACCATGTTGACCAGGATGGTCTCGATCTCTCGACCTCGTGATCCACCCGCCTCGGCCTCCCAAAGTGCTGGGATTACAGGCTTGAGCCACCGCGCCCGGCCGGCCACAAAGTTTTTTATAGAGATATAGTGTACTAACAGTGAATCTAGAGATTGCTTCTATTATTTCTTGTTACAGTGTCGCATTATACAAAACTGTCTATTTATGTGGACTTGTTAGAATAATTTCATAGAAGTTTCAAAATGTGTATTTACTGGACCAGAACTATTTTTTCGCTTAACACCTTGACCAGCTTGCATATTAGATACATGATTATCAGGTATAAAATATAATTTATAAATGTTTTCAATACTGGTTTTGGCATTGCTCTGTAAATGGAATGTATCTCGTGAGAGAGAGAGTGAGTGTGTATGTGGGGTGTGTGTGTGTGTGTTTGTGTATGTGTGTGTGAGAGAGGAGAGAGAGTCTCAACTGTCTAGGCTGGAATGCAATGGCAAGGTCATAGCTCATTGCAGTCTGAACTCTTGGGCTTAGGCTATCCTCCCACCTCTGTCTCCTGAGTAGCTGGGACTGAGGCACAGTCCAACCCACATGGCTAATTTTTTGTAGAGACAGTTTTACCATGTTGCCTAGGCTGATTTCAAACTCCTGGGCTCAAGCAGTCTGCCTGCCTCAGCCTCCCAAAATGCTGGGATTAAGGCTTTAAGATTTCCAGATGCTTTTTCTCATTTCCTCTTGATTGTTACAAAATCCTCTACTAAAATGTAAAGCGTTGATTATAAGAGAGTTAACTTCATTTAGCAGATACACTCAGAAGGGTTAAAAATTTGCTGGTACATATGCACATGACTATTAAGTGGTTGAACAAGTCTCTAAGCCGTTTTTACCCTTTCTTTCTATTTTTTTTGGAGGCAGTCTTGTTCTCTTGCCCAGGCTGGGGTACAGTGGTGTGATCATAGCTTACTGCAGCCTTGATTTCCTGGGCTCAAGCGATCTTGCTGCCTCAGCTTCCTACATAGCTAGGACTACAGGCGTGCACCACCATGCCCAGCCAGGTTTTTTATACATCTCACACACACACACACACACACACACACACACTCTCTCTCTCTCTCTCTCTCTCTCTCTCTCTCTCTCTCTCACTTTTCTTTTTTTCTTTTTCTTTTTTTTTTTTTTTTGAGATGGAGTCTCACTCTGTCCCCCAGGCTGGAGTGCACCAGTGAGATCTCAGCTCACTACAGCCTGTGCCTCCTGAATTACATTGATTCTCCTGCCTCAGCCTCCTGAGTAGCTGGGACTACAGGTGAATGCCACCATGCCTGGCTAATTTTTTTTTTTTTTTTTTGTATTTTTAGTAGATACAGGGTTTTGCCATATTGGCCCAGCTGGTCTTGAACTCCTGACCTCAAGTGATCCTCCCAGCTCAGCCTCCCAAAGTTCTGGGATTATTGGCATGAGCCACCATGCCTGACCTGTCCTTTTTTCTTTTTGTCATATGCCAGTTTTATTCTATAGGGTTGAAAGAAATTAACCAAATGCAATAGTATTTCTTGTCACTATCATTATTCATTGATTTTTTTTCCACCATTAGAGGGCACGAATCTGTCACATTATTTATTGATTTTAAGACCTCTCTGTCCCCTACATATATCTCTGAGGCACATGGAAAGTGGCCCTAGTCAGTAGTGAACTGATTCTTTGGCTGAGATGTATCCTTTCAATAACTTGAAAAGTAGAAAGGCAGACTTAGGGGTTCTTGTGGTCACAGATGTGTTCCCTTTTTTGGGGGTGAGACATACAGAATAACATGCATGGGCTAATTTTTAAAAAAGGTGCTTCTCTGGAAGACAAGTATCAAATGTTAATAGTAATTATCCATGGATTAGAGCATTTTGATGTGTTGCTTTCCTGATGGAATATTGTTTTAATGAAAACGGATCAAGTGAGGACATTGATGGGTGAAAACTATGAGGAATTGACTTTGATATTCTTAACTGCATCAGCAGAAATTTTAAAAAACTTTAGAAACCACTTGCTGCATGAGCTAGATGTTGAAGGGAAACTGCTCACATGTATTCTCAGATACATTAGTAAAAGGACACTTGAAGTCTATGGAGAATAGAGCTGTTCCAGCCTTATTGCGTGTTTTCTTCCTGAGTTAAAATAGGAACTTGTGTATTGGTGGTCATCCTGACATGAAACTGTAAGATCCTTCCCCACAGGATCATCCTAACCTGAAACCTGGAACCAAATCCATTCCCATTCAGCAAATGGTGATCAAGTGGCACATAGGGGACAGAGAGGTGATTACGTTCAAAAATGAGAAAGAAAACATATTGTTAGGGCCAGGCGTGGTGACTCACCTGTATAATTCCAGCACTTTGGGAGGCCAAGGCAGGTAGGATTGCTTGAGTTCGTGAGTTCGAGACCAGCCTGGGCAACACAGTGTAAGTCTTTTGTCTACTTAAAATAAATAAAAAGAATCAGCTGGGCATGGTGGCATGTGCCTGTAGTTCTGCTTTGGGAAGCTGAGGCTAGAGGATCACTTGGGCCTGGCACATTGAAGCTGCAGTGAGCTGTGATCGCATCACTGCACTCTAGCCTGGGTGACAGAATGAGACCGCGTCTCAAAAAAGTTTGCCAGTAGGCAGGATAGGTATCAAATGTGGGAAAAAAAAAAAAAAAAAAAAAAAAAACAAACTTAAGATACTTGGAGATGACAAGTAAATCATCTTCCAATTTTACAGATTTTATGGAAAGAACTCTTCTTATGTCCATGGGGGATTGGATTCAAATGGAAAGCCAGCAGATGCCGTCTATGGACAGAAAGTAAGCATTTCAAACTTTATTTAGGCTGTTAAGCAGGTAGAAAACTCAAAATTGAAGTGGACACATACAAAATAGATTTGCTGATAAAGATCAAATTTCTTTTTAGTAAAAGTTGATGTGTTTTATTACTATTTGATTAATGTATTTGTTGAAATGCCTATGTGATGTCAGATTTGTCAATCTTGTGTGATAGTCTAAAGCTTTTTTATATTGGAAGATAATTGGCTTTAGCATAGAGATCATCTTTTTAAACTTTAAAATTTAAAGTATTAATTCAGGGCAGTTATTTAAAGAACTCAAGTGTGGTCACTGGGAATAGAGTATACAAAGAAAAATCAAATGTAGTCTGCATATCCTGTAATTTAAATATGCACATTCTCTTTACCTGTGTTGCGGTGGTAGTTTTTTAATTGGAGATTATTTAAATTTTACGGCATTCACAGTTGATTTTTTTTTTTTTTTTTTTTTTTTTTTTAAGGAAATCCACAGGAAAGTGATGTCTCAAAACTTCACCAACTGCCACACCAAGATTCGCCATGTTGATGCTCATGCCACGCTAAATGATGGTGTGGTAGTCCAGGTGATGGGGCTTCTTTCTAACAACAACCAGGCTTTGAGGAGATTTATGCAGACATTTGTCCTTGCTCCTGAGGTATGTATAGGAATGATTGTTTTGTAGTGATAAAAAACAATGAATGGTTGTGCATATCTTTAAAAACACTTGAAATTTCAGACTTAGAAAACTTGGAAGATTAATACAATAACTCCTATATGCAGCTGCCCTTACCAAGAGCAACTGTCACCACCACTTCCACATGTATATAATTCTTTCTCTATAAGAATAAAGAATTCTTTTCCATTCCATAGTACAGTTACCAAATTCAGGAAATGATGCAATATAATTATCTATAATCTGTATTTAAAATTTGGAAAGTATCTCAATAATGTCTTTTAGTAATTTTTTTTTTTTCTCCTTGTCCAACATGGAATCTATACTTAATACATTGCATTTATCTGTCATGTCTCTAGTCTTTCTAATAGGCAACTGTTTCTTAATCTTTTGGGGTTTTTTTTATGGCATTAACATTTTTGAAGCACACAGTCACTTTTTTCGTAGGATGCTTTATGTGTGTCATTCAGTGCTTCCCATTAAAGAGGCACATTATGCCATTTAGTTGTGATACGACTTTTGATTACTTAGGTTTTCTCACCGTAAAGTTAAATATCTTTTCTCTCTCTCTCTTTTTTTTTTTGAGCTGGAGTCTCACTGTATAATCCAGGCTGGAGTGCAGTGGCTCCATCTCTGTTCAATGTACCCTGCACCTCCTGGGTTCAAGGGATTCTCCTGCCTCAGCCTCCCAAGTAGCTGGGACTGGCTGGGCTCTTTTAGTATTTTTAGTAAAGGTGGGGTTTCACCATGTTTTTTCAGGCTGGTCTCTCTAACTCCTGAACTCAAGTGATCCACCTGCCTTGGCTTCCCAAAGTGCTAGGATTACAAGCATGAGCACTTCACCTGGCCTGATGTTTTCTCTTTTCAATTTGTAAATAAAGGATGGGCGATTCTGTGTCTTTTTCTTTCTTTTTGAACATTTACGGCACAAGATGTTTCGGGTTCATCTTGGATTGTTCCTGTACCAACCCCTATTCTTGAATCAGTTGTTCCTTCAAGGAGGCTTGGTTCTTTTTAGTTATGCTTAGGAAAGGACAAGTTTATGTTGAATGATTGCATTTGTGTTTTCTTCTGGATTGGTCCAGACTGAACAAAGTTAGGAAGCCTGTTTGCTTAAGCATATATGTAGAAATGGTACAGTAAGAGCTTGTTGAATAAATCATTGTTTGCTCTAGCATTAATCTTAAATTTTCTTTTTAAGATAGCAAACGTAAAGTGCTTAAAATCTTTTAACCTTTTAACCTTTTTGTCTATTTGTAAAATTATGTGAATCCATTGTAGTCATGATTTTTAGAGGAAGGCTTAGATTAAAATGTAAAGATGTGGTAGACTTCTAAATATGCAAAGAATCACGTGTATGATTGTCAGTTATAGGTTTATTGTAGTTTTTTTCTTTTAAAGGAAGTGTCTAATGTCTTAGTCTAATATGCTATTACATAAACTGTCTCAGTTAATAAACAAAATATTAAGGTATATGTTGATATCCTTTTTTTCTTTTTGAGATAAGGGTCTCCCTGAGTTGCCTAGGCTGGAGTGCTGTGGCAGGATCATGACTTACTGCAGCCTTGACTGCCTGAGCTCAAATGATAATCCCACCTCAGCCTCCCAAGTAGTTGGGGCCTCAAGTGCAGGCCACCATTCCTGGCTGATTTTTGTTTTTGTAGAGACTACAGAAAACTCAGTATAAGTTGCCCAGGCTAGTCTCAAACTCCTGTGCTTAAGCAATTCTCCTACCTCAGATTCCCAAGGTGTTGGAATTTCAGAAGCGACCCATGGTGCCTGCTGATACCTCTCTTTTTACAGATGAGTAACAGCCCTAGAAACTGAATAACTCATAAATGACAAAATGGATCTGTACTCAGGTGTGTCTTATACCTAGTGTGAGCAAGATTTTTCAGGCTGCACTACCCTTGAGTGTTTGTATTATTTTCGGATATAGTCTTGGGGAATTTTAAATATCTGCTGAAGTTAAGAATATGATTGCCTCTTTTTTTTGAAACAAGGTCTCTGTTGCCCAGGCTTAAGCGCAGAGGCACAGTCTTGGCTCACTGCAACCTCCACCTCCCGGGTACAAGTGATCCTCCTGCTTCAGCTTGCCCAGTAGCTGAGAGTACAGGCTTATGCCACTATGCTTGGCTCATTTTTGTATTTTTAGTAGAGATGGGGTTTCACCATATTGGCCAGGCTGGTCTCAAACTTCTGACTTTAGGTGATCTGCCCTCCTTGGCCTCCCAAAGTCCTGGGATTACAGGCATGAGCCACTGCGCCTGTCTGGAATATGATTGCCTTTTAATGATTTGAGATGTGGGCTGTGGCATCTTACATACTTACAGCTTTGTCAGTTTTTGGATATTTATCTTGTGGTGAGGTTTTTTGAACTTGTGGTAAAGTATTTTGAACAAACAAAATATATGTGAGTGTGGTCTTTTTACCATCTGTTGTAGACCAGGCATTTTCAGTTTTGGCACTGTTGACATCTTGGATCAAGTAATTCTTTGTTATGGGTAGCCTGTCCTGTGCATTATAGGATATTTAGTGCATCCCTGACCTTACTAGTTGTCAGTAGCATCCCCTGTAATGAATACTGAAATGTTGGGAGGGCATGCTGACTTAGACCCATAATTCAGAATTTTCGGAGTCTGAGGCAGGAGGGCCACTTGAGCCCAGAAATTAAAGACCAACTAGGACAATATAACAAGATCCCGTCTCGACTGAAAAAAAAAAAAAAAATAGCCTTGCATAGTGCTGTGCCGCTACAGTCCTAGCTACTTAGGAGGCGAGAGGATTGCTTGAGCCTGGGATGTCAAGGTTGCAGTGAGCTGTGATGTGCCATTGCATTCCTGCCTGGGTGAAAGCAAGACCCTGTCTCAAAAGCCCCACAGCAGCAGAAACTGAAATGTCTCCAGGCGTTGCCAGATGTCTCCTGGAGGTAAACTTGTTCCAATCACCAATGGTGTAGAGTGATTGCAGTTTTTAAAAGTCTGTGGAATAAATGAAAATTTTCTATTGGCATTGCAGGGGTCTGTTGCAAATAAATTCTATGTTCACAACGATATCTTCCGATACCAAGATGAGGTCTTTGGTGGGTTTGTCACTGAGCCTCAGGAGGGTAAGTAGTGAAATACTTTAAGTTACTTGTCTAAATTTTTTAAAATGATATCAGATTGCCCTTAAGAGACTATGGATTTCTTCACTGTTTTCATTACATTGTTTTTCATTAATAACTGGTAATTATCATGGTATATGAAGAGTCTGAGGTTTTACCCTACTTGAAGCTGCTAACAGGTTAGCTTACATCATGTCTAGTAGAAGACATAAGACTCTTAGTTCAGAAGGAGGTAGGTTGACTCACAGTAGCAGCAGTAACATTTTTGCCACATTTACCAACAGGATGTCATGAAGAAGGCTGGATGATACTTCTGCTGCAGCAGGTTGTGTTAAAGGCATGGGACATTGAGTTTAGGGAACACAGAAGTTTTTATAACATGCAGTAAACATACCTAACTCTTTGTTCTGGAAGGAGGCACTCTTTCAAAGCTGTTTGCTATGCAAATATTCTTGAGAGGCAGTCTGGAAGAAAGGATAGGTATGGAAGATGTGTAGACACAGAAACTCATGGAAAATTTTCTACAAAATAGTAGAATTTGAGCGTGTTCTGTGTGCCTGAGAGTATATTTTGTAATACAGTCTTACAAATGTGCAGTCTTAAAATGTGCAGTCATTTGCCTAGCAAAGTGGTAGAGCCTGCATTAGATAACTGTCTAATGTCATTTGCCTAATGTCATGTAGCCAGTAAGGTGACAGCCCGCATTTGGCTCCATGCTCTTAAAAACCAAGACACTACAGTAGCCTTAAAAATCTAACCTTAAAAGCCTTAGTTCTGCCCTTAAAGTCAATGCTGTGATTTTACCAAATTGCCCTACTTCATTTACTTATATATATTTTTCTTCATTGTTGTTTTGTGAACAGTGTGAAAGTGAATGTGTATGTGAATTCAGTAAATACAAATTACTTTAAATATCTTTTCCTCACTTAGAGTCTGAAGAAGAAGTAGAGGAACCTGAAGAAAGACAGCAGACACCTGAGGTGGTACCTGATGATTCTGGAACTTTCTATGATCAGGCAGTTGTCAGGTAAAAAAATTTTGTTCACATGTCCAGGGCTGCATAAGAACTTGCGTTATCTAGTCTTTCCATTTGTTGGAGGGCATTTACATATTCTGAGAATTACCTCAAAATAATAATTTCTCAGAAGAATGGTTTTGTTTCTCGTAATTTTGATGAAACAAAAATACCTAACTTGTTTATTAGTAGTAGATTGTACTGTGAGGACAATCTGTTACTTAGTTTAAATAGTGTCAGTTGTTTTAAATAGTATCAATTGCTTTTTGGTTTAGTGTTTCCTTGGCGTTAAGTGAAAACTTGAATATTGTTTATCAAGAGGTGAATATATTGAGGTGTTAAATGCTTTGAGGGAATAAAAAGTGGACAGAGATCTATTAGAGATCAGGCATAAATTGATCTAAATACCAATATGTGAGTTAAGTAGCAATAAAGAATTTTATTACCTTAGTAAGTGCCTTATTGTACCTTTGGGTTTATTCTCCCTTATGATTGGAACAGAAATATGTTTGATAGCACTAGAAATCCATATTTACTTGTTACCATGTGATGCACTGAATGTTAATCAGTGCCTGAAGGGTGTTTTCAAGTGTTTCTTAAGGTGTGATGAGCTAATCAGGCTACTCAACTTTGATTGCTGGTTCAAAATGAAGATTCATGGTCTCACTGCAAACCTACTGAAATAGAATTTCAGGAGGAAAAATATTTGCAGTTTTGTTTTTGTTCTTTTGAGACAGACTCTTGCTCTATTATCCAAGCTATAGTGCAGTGGCACTGACTGCAACCTCTGCCTCCTGGGTTCAAGCAATCCCCCTGCCTCAGCCTCCTGAGTAGCTGCAACTATAGGTGCTTGCCACCATGCCTGGCTAAATTTTGTATTTTTTTCCACCTGATTTTGGTTAAAAAAATTTTTTGTAGAGATGGAGTTTTGCCATGTTGGCCAGTCTGGTCTGGAACTCCTAACCTCAGGTGATCTGCCTACCTTGTCCATCCAAAGTGCTGGGATTACAGGTGTGTGCCCAGCCACCTCTGCAGTTTTAACAGCATTCCTGGTTGATTTATGTGGAATTTTAAGAATTGTATTCTGAATCATAACGAATATATTTTCTCCCCCTGAATTCCTTATGTGCTTAAGAGTTTTTTTGTGTTTGTGTTAAAAGCCAAATACAAAATTTGCCATCTTAACCTTTTTTTTTAAACTGTTTTTAAATATAAAGTGCAGTAGTGTGAACTGTTACAGACATGTTGTACAACAGATCCCTAGGACTTTTCACCTTACAGACAGACTAAACCCATTGAACGGCAACTTCCTTTTCCCCTCTCCCCAGCCTGTTTTGAGAGTTTTTGTGATGTTGTATACTAAATGAATTGTAATGGTTGTGGGATTCCAACCATAAAGTGATTTGGTTCAATTTGATCTCTTGATTCATTTGCTTATCAGAATCTATCAAACAAATGGATTCCAGTTAAGTTATTGAGTAGTAGTTTTAAATTACTTTTTAAAAACTCAAACATACAATTTTTAGATTTTTTTTGGACAGAAGGAGCTAATTTTATGTTCTGGTTTCTGGTTAATAAATGATGGGAAGTTTTTTGCAAAATAAATGGTGGCAGGTGGCAGAATGATATTTCTCAAATTTTTCTCTTAAAGTAATGACATGGAAGAACATTTAGAGGAGCCTGTTGCTGAACCAGAGCCTGACCCTGAACCAGAACCAGAACAAGAACCTGTATCTGAAATCCAGGAGGAAAAGCCTGAACCCGTATTAGAAGAAACTGCTACTGAGGATGCTCAGAAGAGTTCTTCTCCAGCACCTGCAGACATAGCTCAGACAGTACAGGAAGACTTGAGAGTATGAAACATGTCTTCATTTTTATTCTATTTCTAGTTATTAAAAAAAAAAAAAAGCCTGTTCTTCTGTGTTACTGTTTGGTTGACTTTTGTAGATACATTTTCATATTGGTGGTTCATTTCAGGGAAATTTCTTAGATATTGAGCCATGCCTTTGATAAGAGAGAGGTAAGATGTGTATTAACTTTATTTCATCAAAAGAAACTACTCCTTTCCCATAGCTAACTTGAATGCTGTTAGACCAGAAATTATAAGTGCCACTGTATAACCACATCAGTGATCCCTCATCTTTTTAATATTTTAATCTTTTATACCATAAATCAGGCATCCCCAAACTTTTTACATAGGGGGCCAGTTCACTGTCCCTCAGACTGTTGGAGGGCCGCCACATACTGTGCTCCTCTCACTGACCACCAATGAAAGAGGTGCCCCTTCCTGAAGTGCGGCGGGGGGGGGGCTGCGGGCTGTAGTTTGGGGACGCCTGCCATAAATTATTACATGCTTGTTAAAACAAGTGCCATAACAATCTTTTTTAGAAAAATAACATGGCAGAATATACTTTTCCTATGAAATTTTATTGAAGATAACTTTATAGTAGAAGTAGAAACAAACTGCTGAAGTAAAACTTCTTTTCTAGTTGGCATAGCTGATTTCAGAAGTTTTCAGTTTGTCCTCCTGAATCTCATCAGGGTGATATGTTAAAACTCAAGAAACCTTTGCATTTGATGCTCTGGGAAGTAATATAATTTTTAGTGCTATATTTATAGGGTCAGGCTTGTATCATTTGTTTGTTCAACAATTCACATTTCTGCTGTGTGTTAGGCATTGTTCAAGGTATAGGTATTTTATTTGTCAAACAGATAGGGTTCTTGCTCTCTGGCAGCTAATAAATGAGTAGAAAAAGCAATGTGGAAATGACACTAGTTTACAAGTAGCAAACAGTAGTTGGGCATGGTGGTGCCTATGTGTGGTCCCAGCTACTTGAGGGGCTGAGGTAGGAAGATAGCTTAGCCTGGGAAGTCAAGGCTGCAGTGAGCTAAGATTATGCCACTGCACTTTAGCCTGAGTGATAGAGTAAGACCTTGTCACAAAAACAAAACAATAAAAAGTAAGTGGAAAAGTAGGTTGGCTGGACTAGATGACCACTTAGGTGGCTATTACAGTAACTCTAGAGAGAGAGAATGATGGCTTGAATTTGAGTTGTGGCAGTGGAAATGGAAAAGAGATAATTAGGTAGAATAACAGGTTCTGAAGATTTTTAATTGTGTTAGAAAGGATTGTGATGGTTCTGCAGGATATAATTGAGTTAGTGTTTGTACCATGGATTGGATTGAATCGTACTAGGAAGAACTGAGCTGATTTTGGAGGGGAGAGAGTTTTATTTGATTGACAGATTTGAAGGAAAACAGTTTTGGGCCAGACATTGTGGCTCACACATGTAATCCCAGCACTTTGGGAGGCTGAGGCAGGAGGATTGCTTGAGTTCAGGAGTTCAAGACCAGCCTGGTTAATATAGTGAGACTTCATCTCTACTAAAAAGAAGAAATAGCTGGACATGTTGGTACATGCCTGTAGTTTCAGCTGCTTGGGAAACAGGTGAGAGGATCACTTTAGCCCAGGAGATGGAGGCTATGGTGAGTTGTACATGTCACTGCATTCCAGTCTCGGCAACAGAGCAAGATCTGGTCTCAAAAAAAAAGTAAATAGTTTCTTGACCCTAAGCCTCTCAGATTTGCCTGGTACTTAATCATCAGTCCCAAGGAATTTCACTACTAAATTTTGAATAGTTGAAAGAGGAATCTTAATATGTATATAAACTCCATCCTGCTTATGAGAGTCTGATACCATTTGTTATGTACAGGAAATCAAGAGTTTGTAGCTTTTATATTGTTTTGTTATATGGTATAATTATGTAATGCTGGTAATTGTTCCCTTAGACATTTTCTTGGGCATCTGTGACCAGTAAGAACCTTCCACCCAGTGGAGCTGTTCCAGTTACTGGGATACCACCTCATGTTGTTAAAGTACCAGCTTCACAGGTAAGGTTCTAGTAAAACTTGTCCATTAGGCAAATTTACTTACATTTTTGTAATGTGATCCGGCAGAGGCTTAGAGAATGTGGAAACTGGCCAGATGCAATGTGGCTCATGCCTGTAAACCCAGTACTTTAGGAAGCCGAGGTGGGCTGATCACTTGAGCCTAGGAGTTTGAACCCAGTCTGGGCAACATAGTGAGATTCTGTCTCCAAAAAAAATCATCTGGGCCATGTGGCGTGCATCTGTAGTCCTAGGTATTTGGGAAGCTGAGGTAGGAGGATTGCTTGAAGCCCAAGAGATTGCTTGAGCCACTGCACTGTCTCCTGGGGAGCAGAGTGAGACTTTGGCTCTCACACACACAAAAACATTAATATATAGGGCAGAAGAGAAGGGTATAAGATGGTTTTTAATGATTTTTCTTGTGAGAGAATTGTCCATTTTCTAGTTTAAACCTTGTTAACTAAGACACTTAATTAAGAAAAAGAATAAGCCTGTTTTGTTTTAACACAAAAGTTAACTTAAAAATTTTTCAGCCCCGTCCAGAGTCTAAGCCTGAATCTCAGATTCCACCACAGAGACCTCAAAGGGATCAAAGAGTGCGAGAACAACGAATAAATATTCCTCCCCAAAGGGGGCCCAGACCAAGTAAGAGCTCAGAACGGCAATTTCTCTAGTTTGGGGTATTTTGAGGTGAGAGCTTATTTTGGGAGGGCAGTTGATGTTTATATACTTCAAAATAAAAAGTTTTAGGGTTGATGGAATTACCTGTTTTTAGGGTAGAGGGAAAACTATTGAATGTGAGCAGTCATTGAAAGGTGTCTTCTTTCTCTTGGCTTTCATTGATGTTTTTGTTTCCTTTTAAGTCCGTGATGCTGGTGAGCAAGGTGACATTGAACCCCGAAGAATGGTGAGACACCCTGACAGTCACCAACTCTTCATTGGCAACCTGCCTCATGAAGTGGACAAATCAGAGCTTAAAGATTTCTTTCAAAGTAGGTTATTTAGGTTTGAGCATTACATTCATCTGGTGTCGCTCTAACACTGTACATTGGAAATAGAAAATGAGCCATATATGTAATTATAAATTTTTTAGTAGTCATGGTTAAAAAAACAAAACAATAAAAAGAAACTGGATAATTTAATACATTTAACTCTTAAGCATTATAATTTCAACATGTAGGAATATTTTGAGAGATATTTTGCACTTTTTAATAAGTCTTTGAAATCCAAATGTACTTCCCATAATTTTATACATATGAGAGGCACATCTCAATTCAGACTAGCTATATTTATATTTCAGGTGCTCAGTAGTATGCATCTAGTGGCGACTGTGTACATGTAATATTTAAAGGGGAATTGTGTAAGTAGTTATCTGAGAATCTGTTTCACTTGCAGATTATGGGAACGTGGTGGAGTTGCGCATTAACAGTGGTGGGAAATTACCCAATTTTGGTTTTGTTGTGTTTGATGATTCTGAGCCTGTTCAGAAGGTCCTTAGCAACAGGGTAAGCAGCTGTTCATCTTGATTTTTTTGTTGTTGTTTTTGTTTTAAAGGGTTTTGGTTCTTTAGAATATATTTATTTTTATAGCTGGATCTATAAAGTACAGTTGGAATAAAGTACAGTTTATTCCAACATCTTCGGTCAATTAATTTCATTATTTTCAGCCATTATTAAAAGACCTGCCTGGGGCTTTAGCAAAACAAAATTTCTGTCTAAATAACTTAATTTTTGATACTGTGAATTATGAGAATGAGAAAACGAATAGTCATCAGTGCACTGAGATTTATATAACTATCTTTCCTTGGTGTTACTGGAGATGTACAAGAGATGAGAAAACCAAGCTAACTAAGATAAGAGCCAGTGTGCCCAAGGCAGTTTTGGTATACTGCTCTTTTTAGAGAGTAACTATTAAGAGTTTCTCCTTTAAGTCAATAAACTGCGTTTGGAAGATAAATTATGTGGTCACCCTACTTGGAACCACCCTTATTAACAGTACTGTTACTGGGTACATTCTAATAATAGAGGAATTTGTGGAATGGGAATCTTACGGTGGGAGCCCCAAAGAAAGCTTCCCTTCCCCTGCAAAGAACTACTTTTTGTAGTCGTAGAAAAGAACAAAGGTATAAATAATACTAATTTATTAAGCTGCACTTTTTTTATTGAGGTGAAATTTACATAACAAAATTGACCATTTAAAAATGTACACTCTGTAATCCCAGCACTTTGGGAGGCCGAGGCGGGTGGATCACGAGGTCGAGAGATCAAGACCATCCTGGTCAACATGGTGAAACCCCGTCTCTACTAAAAATACACAAAAAAATTAGCTGGGCATGGTGGCACGTGCCTGTAATCCCAGCTACTCAGGAGGCTGAGGCAAGAGAATTGCTTGAACCCAGGAGGCGGAGGTTGCGGTGAGCCGAGATAGCGCCATTGCACTCCAGCCCGGGTAAAAGAGCGAAACTCCGTCTCAAAAAAAAAAAAAAATGTACACTTAATTGCATTTAGAACACATTGCTACATTGCTTTGCAACCATTACCTCTAATTCCAAAAGATTTTTACTAAAAGCCATAAGCTCTCTACTCACTAAGCAGTCATTCCTTGCACTTGTCTCCCCAACCCCTGACAGCCACTAATCTGCTTTCTTCCCTGTGGATTAAAACTGTGTACTTTAAGCCATATAATAGAAACATTGCAGATCAGTGATATTCTCCAGAATGTTAATGGGCATACTGCCTTTTTTTTTTTTTTAAAAAAAAAGACAGTCGTGCTTTGTCTCCCACACTAGAGTGAGTGCAATGGCATGATCTCAGCACTCTGCAACCTCCACCTCCCAGATTCGAGCAGTTCTCTAGCCTCAGCCTCCTGAGTAGCAGGGATTACAGGCTTCCACCACCACACATGGCTAATTTTTTGTGTTTTTAGTAGAGATGGAATTTTGCCATGTTGGTCAAGCTGGTCTCGAACTCCTGACCTCAGGTGATTTGCTCGCCTTGGCCTCCCAGAGTGCTGGTATTACAGGGATGAGCAACCCACCTGGGCATATTGCAAAGTTTAATGTTATGTTCGTGACATTATGTCAGCCTTAATATGCAAATGTATGTTATCTTTCAAATTATTTGACCACATATCTTTGTGAAGCATTTCCTGCAAAATACAGTTTGAGAAATGAGAGAACAGTGATTTATCTCACCAAAGCCAGTGGAGAACCCAGAAATGCCCCGTATGCTTTGTAGATAAATCCATCATTCAGCATGTATTAGATCTTGTGGCCACCCTTCATTTCATGGTATTTGTAGAAGTGTACTATGCTCCCTTCAGTAATTTTTTGGGTGAGTGGAAATAGCTTATGTAAGACTGATTGCTCTGGTATATGACATGCTGTAGTGTAGCTTTGTAGTTCAGAGCGTATTTTTCCCAATCTGGAGGCCTTGGTTTACGTTCTTCTTCCATCACTCATTATTGTTGTGACCCATGGGAAAGGTTCTTTAACCTCCCTAGCTCTTAGGTATCAAGCATCAAGGGTTGTTGTAAAGGTTAACCGAGCTAATACATTTGAATAGAACACTTCACTGACATATAGTAAGTACTGATAGATACTCATTTTAAGAAATTAGAAAATTACATTGCTGATAAAGAGCATGAATTGAATTTATTGAAATGTTTGGTAACCTGTTAACTACACTGGCTCTGTTAGGAGGAAAAGAAGACCAAGACTATCCAAAATTCTTAGGTGAGCAGCAAGTTAAAGTTTGTCAAATCAATGAAGGTTTTATTTGAAATGTATATGTACTTTGCATAAATATGTGCAGTGCCATCTTTTCACATTGATGATGTGGTTTTATTCTAGGCCTCCAAATCTGTGGAGAAGGTGGCAATTCTTTATTCAATTTACATAATTCCATGAGAAAATAAGTACTTGGGAGACTGGGGCAGGGAGAAGTGTTTGAACCCGGGAGGTGGAAGTTGCGGTGAGCAGCTTGCTCACTCCAGTCTGGGTGACAGGTGAAACTCCATCTCATTAAAAAAAACAAACAGAAAACTGAACTGTGAGAACTCAGCTGATGTATAATCTGCTGGTTCTTTTTTTTTTTTTTTTTTTTTTAAATTTTTGGAGACGGAGTCTCGCTCTGTTGCCCAGGCTGGAGTGCAGTGGCGCGATCTCAGCTCACTGCATTATCCGCCTCCTGGGTTCAAGCAGTTCTCTTGTCTTAGCCTCCTGGGTAGCTGGGAGCACAGACATGTGCCACCATGCCTGGCTAATTTTTGTATTTTTTTAGTAGAGACAGGATTTCATCATGTTGGTCAGGCTGGTCTCAATCTCCTGATCTCGTGATCCTCCCATCTTGGCCTCCCCAAATGCTGGGATTTACAGGCGTGAGCCACCTGACCTCTGCTTGTTTTTTTTAAAATAGCTTTTTTAATCCTCTGCTGTCATAGCCAGCTTGTCAGTACTCTAAGTCTGGTTACCTTGATTCTTACAGCCCATCATGTTCAGAGGTGAGGTTCGTCTGAATGTGGAAGAGAAGAAGACTCGAGCTGCCAGGGAAGGGGACCGACGAGATAATCGCCTTCGGGGACCTGGAGGCCCTCGAGGTGGGCTGGGTGGTGGAATGAGAGGCCCTCCCCGTGGAGGCATGGTGCAGAAACCAGGATTTGGAGTGGGAAGGGGGCTTGCTCCACGGCAGTGAATCTTCATGGATCTTCATGCAGCCATACGAACCCTAGTTCCTGCAGAATGGTGAATTTCTTCGACCAGCCTTTGGTATCTTGGAGTATGACCCCAGTCTGTTATAAACTGCTTAAGTTTGTATAATTTTACTTTTTTTGTGTGTTAATGGTGTGTGCTCCCTCTCCCTCTCTTCCTTTTCCTGACCTTTAGCCTTTTACTTCCAATTTTGTGGAATGATATTTTAGGAGTAACAGACTTTTAAAGAAGAAAAAAGAAAAGGACTGAATTTCCTTGCTTACTTTGCATATACAGACTGGACATTTTTTTTTTAACAGCCATTTCCCCAAAGGAATATGTCTTGCGTATTACTGACATTTGGTATGTTTCATTCATTGGAATATTTCTTATTTTCTTTGTGTTAAAGCCTGTGAGACAAACAGGATTTGATAACATTTGAAGGCAGGAAAAACCCAAATTGTTTCTTCTTTGAGAGTCATGACTTCCTTCTGGTGTGGAGAAATTGCCATTGGAAAATTTGACAGTTTTGATTCTCACTGGTATGTTTAAAAGCGGAATAAAAGGAATAGAATTTTTCTTTTGATACAGGATCACAAAACAATTCTAAAATACTGTTTTTACCACTGAAATTTAAATTGTGATATATAGGTTTTAAATGTCTAGACTGCAGCTAATAGGCTTTTCTTGAACTTAGTTTTTTTGAAGTAGAGTTTTTTCATGTTTAATTTGTATTTGTAAAAAAAAAAAACAAAAAACAAAAAAATTCCCCAAACCCAGATAACAACCAGAGCAAAACTGTTGTGCCTTCTATTTATCTTTGATTTCAGTCTTGGCAGTTGTTTAAAGAAAAATAATTAAAAAAAAAAAATCTAGATTTGTTTTATTATTAGGTTCAGAGTATGTGGGGAATTATAGAATCCCTCTTTCATCACCTTACATGTCTTCTGTTAACATATTTGTTATGCCTTATTCTAAAATTGAGTCTCAAACTGGAATGCCTTTGAAGACAGATGCTCTATAGAGGTTCTTTGGCCTAAATAGTTCAGCATTTGTGTTAAGTTTTATTCTGGTATCTAATCAGATTCCTAATCATAGCCCATAAGAAGGAATGTGACTTTAATATTGGACTTTGCTGATGTGCTCGTGTCCGCATTTTTTTCTTTAAATCATAGCCATATGTTAAATTTTCTATTTTGTTATGGTTCTCTTTTATTGATGGGCATGCAGTGGGTGTTTCTTGGAAATGGCCAATTTTTATTAAAATATTTCTGGAAGAAAATTTAATCTGGCAATATAGACTAATACTCGTTTCACGTATGTGTTATTTGTTGAGTGCTGTGTGTGAGATGGGTGAAGGTTTTGTTTACAAGTGTGAAGCAAGCCTTCGTGTTATTACTTGTCATTACTAACTGAAGGGCAACCAGGTTGTCAAATTCACTTATTTATTTTCTTAACAGTATTCATCTTGACTGTCATTTGAGGATAGTATAGGAATATTTGCATTACTGAGAAACTCTAGATTTGCTCTGAAGGGGTCAGTTAAGACTGAGAGACTCTAGGTTTGCTGTGAAGGGGTCAGTTAAGGCTACAGTGAAGTTGGTATTACTAGTTTGGTTTCACTTCCTCAAATATTTGAAAATTGGCAGCATCTCCTTTACATAAACGTAACTGAATCACATGGCTTTTTTGGAGGGTTAGTTTAAGTAACTTTGGTAATCACTTTGACCCAGATCAGTGATAATAGGAAGAAATACAACTTGTACTTTTTGTAGCTTATATTAAGCGTGTGGTGGGTGGAAAGAAAAGTTTAGTTTGAGTTACTTTGGAAAAAAAACTTACGTTGTGGTAACTTTAAGGTCATAAATTATAGATAACCTAGAAATTATTCTTACAGGTGAATACTAAATTATACATTTCAAAACAGGGCATTAACTAGATGCAGCGAATCCTCAGCTTGGCGTTATCACATCCTAGAGAACATTTGGAAATGTGCGAGATTTGGAAGGGTTGTTGGAGAGATGCATCTGGTATTTATTGGGTGGGGTCTAAGGATACCAAATGTTGTGTAAAAATGAAGCAACCCCATTGAGAACACGGATAGTCGCTCTTCCTATGAGTGGGTGGAGCTGTGGGATTAGGAAAACAGGAATGAAGACTTATCCTTTTGAAATTCAGCCTCAGATAAATAACAAACTAATTAGGAAATAGAAATCTATTTCAAGAATTATAGTAACATCTACTCTAAGTAATTAGTAATTTCTCTTTCCATTATTTGTACCAAGCGTATGTGTGTGTTTATGTGTGTGTAAATGTGGAGAGGTGGTAGCAATACATGCTGATGCTGCTTGTGACTTGCGGCAGGGAATTACTGCACAGTCTCAGAAAATAAAAGGCTTCCCCAGTGATTTCAGTCATCAGAGTTGGGATGATTGTGAGGTTTTGAAGGATAGTATTGGACCTAAGAAATAGGATTAGCATTATCATCAGCACTGTGGAGAATTCTTGTACAATTAAGTACATGATTGCCTGTAGAATAAACATGAGACCTTAGAGATGTATACGTTTTCCACTGCTGGAAAGTGAATCTAAGTTAGGGCGACATTCCTATAGGTGGCAGCAGTAGGAGCTCATCACATTCAACACTTTCAAATTTTAAAATGAAATTTTTCATCTGTAGGAATGGCCCAATGAATAGTTATTGAGCTTAAGAGTTACTGAGCTTAGAACTCTTGACCCATGAGTATTTTTATTTTTATAGAGGCAAGGTCTTGCTATTTTGTCAGGCTGCTCTGAAGCTCCTGGCCTCATCAGCCCTCCTGCCTTCCAGATAGCTGGAACTATAGGTGTACAGCATTGCACGTGGTCTCATGAGTATTTTAGCTAGGTAAAATTTGGTTCAGTGAGTCTTAGTTTTTTTAAGACCTGTTGATTTATAATGAGAGATCTTGGACCTTAAAATATTCAGTGGTGAGGTTGGGCTTTACTTTGTGTATTCCAGTGTTCTTAATTTTGTCAGATATTGCTAGGGACCAGTGAGATGGATAATCCAAAAATAATAATTTGACTTTGGGTGAGTATGTCACTACCACAGTGTTAGTTGAATTGCACTTTAGTTTTTAGGTTACAAAAGTTAATTTTCACGTTTGTGCTGTGGATTAGGTGATGTTATCCTTAGCATAATAGATGAGGAACAAACTGAGAGCAATGAAATGACAGGCTTTCAAGTCGTCCATGTAGCAAGGAGCATATTTGACTCCCAAACAAATACTTTTTCTCTAGAACCATAATGACACCCTAGTTAAACTTCAGTAACATAGACCGTAATGAACTTACTACTGTAGGGAGACTTGAGTTAGGAATACATTCAGAATAGGGTTAACATTACAGTTCTTAATTTTCTTTAGGGGAGACAAGATAATTAAACTTGGATTTTGCCAGTCTTTTTTTGATTTGCAGATTCTATGTGGTAACACAATAATGATGGTTTATTCTTAAGTTTTTTTCTCATCTGGTTTGATAATTTAGTGCAAACTTGAAATCTAGATGTGGATAACAATATTTTTATTATAGCATAATCCAGGTGAGTTTACAGAATTTGTGTTTTGTGCTTATAAACTGTGACCTGATAATTTTCTTCATCCCTCTATTGAAAAACCCTTGTTAGAAGTTAATGATTTAATGGAAAATGTTGCACTTTATAGAAAGCTATTGTAAAACTTACAGGTAACATTTCTATGGAGTTTAGATTTGTAGACCCCTGTTTATGCTGAGTGAGATTTCTTTTAAATGGTTGCATTTGCCAAATCTACTTCTAAAGATGTCTTTTATATTACAGTTTTTTTTTCGTGCTACTTTAGGGAGTCTCTGCAGTACTGCATACAGATGAGATAATTGTTGACCTTTTTAGTTCAGTAGTTTTTAACTTTGCGAAAGAAAGAACACCAACATTTATTTGAATATCAGGTTTTAGCTAACTCCCTAATGTACCAAAAAAAAATTTAGCAATGTCTTATGTGGGATGAGGGGTTGAATTAGAGTTGCTGATCAATTTGTCCATGTGGCACTAGATGATAACTAAATTAAGGATTTCTGGTTCTAAGGTAGTAATGGCTTTTGGGATTTATATTTGTTTAATGTTGTGGTTCTGGGGACCATAGGTGGGCCTGTCAGCTCTTAACAGATTATAGTAAAGGAGAGATGGTGACACGTGAGATAAAACTTGTTGATATTTACATTCTTATTAGATGTCACCTCAGGACAACACTGAAATTAAACTGCTCTGTTCATGCTTTGATGTGACAGTCTCAAAAAGTCAAGGCCTAAATGAATAAAAAGATGATACGGAGAATACCTAAAACCAGTTTTGGTTTTTGATTGTGCATATGTGTTGGCTTGGAATCAGGTTTTTAGTTTCTTGTTTATGTGACTGGTTTGAAAACAGTGGATTCTTCTCTCCACAGTTTCTGTTTGAACCTAGTAGCTTATTTTAATTCCCTGGAAGTAAGAGGAACATAATACAGGGAATCTGTTCAACTAGTTCTTTAATAAATCATGTGACTTGACTAATTACAGAAATTCATATGTGTTTAGTATTTTGAAATGTGGCCTGTGTCCCAGATTTGTAAGGTAACTGCATACAGTATGTCTTTGGATTTTTATTTTAAGTAAATTAAAGATTTTTTCTGGATTTCCAGAAATTAACTATTGATTTACTGAACCAAGTATTTATTTTCAGGAGCCCACTTACGGGGAAAGTTGCCTGTATTTTTGGTAGTAATTAAAGGGAAGATTAAATCCTGTTTAACCTGTATAGAAAGAATTTTAACTATTGCTGAAGTTAAAATCACTTTGGGGTTGGTTGTGGTGGCTCATGCCTGTAATCCCAGTGCTTTGGGAGGCTGAGGCCAGAGGATTGCTTGAGACCATTAATTTGAGACCAGCCTGGGCAACATAGCAAGACCCAATCTCTACTGATAATTGAAAAATGAGCCAGACATGGTGGCACATTCCTGTAATGTTGCCTCTCAGGAGGCTGAGGCAGGAGGAATTCCTGACCCCAGGAGTTGGAGGCTGCAGTGAGCTGTGATTGCACCACTGCACTCTAACCTGGGTGACAGAATGAGGCCCTGTCTCTAAAAAACAAAAAATTACAAAACCAAACAAAAAAAATTTTGGTTACTCATTGTCCTCATGCTTTGATGTCAGTTGTTCCCCTAAATTTTAAAATTTTGTAAGGAAAATTGGATGTACACTGATTTGACTGTTTAAATGACATTATACTAAGAAGCTGGTATAAGGAAGTAGGAGAGGAGAAAACTTTTTTAAAAATCATTTGGTGCATGCTAATATAGCTTGTAGGGCATGTGGTTTAAAAAATTTTCTGGATTTTGAAGGATAGGGTCAAACAATTTTTTTCTTCTATTTTGATTATTACCACAAGGAACAGAGAAACTGTCAGAATTCTTTGAATCATAGAATGTTAGTACTAGAAGGGACTAGAAGTGACTTTGTAACCCCTTCATTTTACAAGTGATCAGAGAATTGAGTAGTAGAGTCCCAAATCTGTTTTTAGAAGTAATAGCATCAGTTTAGGTTCACTGTAGGAAGGCCAGCACTGTTAAAAAGTTTGTCTGACGAAAAAGGGAAGGTAACACTTTTTATATATTCACCTGGTTGCTTCTGCAGTTTTCATACCCTTGTTTTCTCTATTTTTTTTTTTTTTAGAATTGTCATTAATGGCCCAGCTCTACCAGGGCTTGTTGTCTAAGGACATTAACTTGTGCTCCCTTCAGGGATGGGTTTACTACTAGCTGTCAGAAAGCTATTGGGTATCCTAATGTGTTAATAGCTGAAACTCAGCTGTAATTTCTCCTAAATACTTCAGCATTTTGCATTCTGTACATCGTGGTGCTTTTTCCACCTTGTATTGTAACTGTAAGCTCCTAGGGGGCAGCGATTTGGTCTTAGGCCTGTACCCTGTTTAGTGCCTGGCAGTGCCATGTTTATATCAAGGTCTTAATATTACTTTTCAGTTATTTCTCCCACTCTTCATGGAAGTGATGTTCCAGCCTTGCTAAAACAATTAGGGTCCTCCCAATAAGCCAGGCATTGTGATCCTTGGCTTCAAGTGCCTTCTCTCTTCCCTGAAGGTCCACTGAGATCTACACACACCCCCTTCTTCAGATCTCTTGCCATGTGAGTAATTTTTTAAAAGATCAGTACAAGAGCTATGTTTTTTTCCTAAGAAAAAATTTACAAGAGGAACGGGGAGTTTTTTGGGTCTGATCTGCCCAGAATTTGAATTGAGGAATAAATTCATTCTCACCTGTTTTCCACATTGTCTTGCTTAAGGTCCTGTTTTGACCACTGTTCCTAGAGCATTTTGTGTTTCTCATAGTTCATAACTTGACCCCTTCAATCTAGAATTAGAATTACATTACTGTTTTACTGCTTTACTAAACTGTAAGCTCCTAGAAGACAAGGACTAGGGAGTTAATCTCTGTATTCTACCAGAAGGTATAGTGACTCATAACTAGAGTCTTTACATGATAATTTACTGAGTTGGAAAACTTAGTAATTTGTTTTCATTCCCAAGGGAGGCATGTTTGGAGATAGACCTTGAATTTAATCAATATAAGGCACTATGCAGTGGAGGAAATTGTTGGGAAATTTGGGGGGATGGATATAGAAGGGGGAGGAAGTCACTGGCCATTTTGAGGTGCTTTCATTGTTGGTCTGGGTAACTAGTCATTTCTTCCTGATTGTGCCTAGTATATCCCAGGCAGTTTGTTTCTTTGCAGAAGGATTTTATATGAAATTTTCATTTCTTTGCAAAAACTTGTTCCTTTTTTCAGTTCATGAAATCATCCATGCTAAAGTCTGAGTCATCTGCTTCCACTTTTGTTATTCCCCACATCCAGTCTTCAGCTAAGTCCTGTCGGTTCTACCTCAAGTCTTTCATGTCTTTCTTCCTCACCCATGTAATTTCAGTAGCCTCTCAGCTTCACTTAACCTCTTCTTACTCCAGCCTACTTTATACACAATGTTAGATTCATCTTACTGAAACATAGCTCTGACCATGTATCCCATGTATGTGTTCTCTCTCCACTATTAGACTGTAAGCTCCTTATGGGCAGGATCTGTGTCTGAGTCATCTTTGTATCTTGCCTAGTACCTACCAATAAATACTTCCTGAATGAACAAATGAATTTTCGTTTCTCGACATAAAGCCTTGTCTAAAGTGAGGTATTTTCCAGGTTATTCCTAGGTTTCTCTCTGGGGTAATTGGAAGTTCTTGCATATGAAGTTGGTTAAATAGTAATAATTAAGAGTTAACCACAGAAAATTTCAGAAAACTTTAATTTTTTTCCATTGGAATCAGCATGGATATGTGTATATGGATGGTTCAATAAATATACTTTTATATACATGTTTCACAGAAATTTTACATTCCATCTTCTAACTGCAGAAATAGATTTTTTTTTACAAGCCAAAAAATAACTGCCATCATTTTTATGACGTCATGCAAAATAAAGGGGGAAGAATAAGGGGCAAAGGGAGTTAGTTGTTCAAGGTTGAGTGTCCAGTAAGAAGTAAAAATGTTACATTAAGGAAGCGATTGCTTAACACGCTGCTTGAGGTGGTAGCCAAACAAATCCTTAACTGCAGCATTAAGGCCATACCAAGTTTATACATATATACAAAGAAATTTCCATATGAAAGGCATACTATCACATTTTCTTCTTCATAAGGATATGGAACTTTGTAATTCTGACCTAGTTTTCCAGGCCAATTAATTAAAATGTCCCAGGCTACTTTTTAGAAATCTCTTCTACTTTGGCTAGGTATCAGAGTCGCTGCTATGTGGGCTTGTGACTTCTGGTCTGACATGAAAGCATGAATCATCTTGAACCTCTTGCATCATAGCACTATGCTGCTTAGCTAATTCACAGTGGCCAGCTAAGCAAGTAGAATTGTAACTTGTGGTTGCCTTACATGTAACAGACTCCATAGTCATGTTGGCATTGTGACCTGAAGAATTACACGGTGCCCTTCTTAGATTCTTTGGGGTTAAGGTAACTTCTTAAATAATGTACTAATGAACAAAAGTGTTTCAGGAAACATGCCCTAGCTCTTAGATGTTTGTATCTAACTTTTACCCTTTGTGTGTTGTGATGCATTTAAGTTGGTAGCTACATTTTTAGAATAAAGGAAATGTAAAACCATTTGCAGAATAATAACCTGGGATTTGCTCTTCTGTGTAAACATCAAACCAGGGAACTTTTAAGACATAGGGTACATCTTTTGTGCAGATATCTAAGCGGGCAAAATGGGGAAAACATGAAGGGCAAGTCCTTTGGGGATGACTTCCAATTAATGCAGAAGTCATTTGCTTTGGCAAGGTTGGGTGGGACTCGGAGATTTCACACTCTTGTCCTGTTGGCAGAAACTAGCCCATCTTAAGTTAGTGCATCCTGAGTCAAAATGAAAGGTTACTAAATTTAACAGTGTACAAATAAAATAACTCCTTCCCCCAGTGACTGCATTTACTTTGTAATCTTAAACTCATTTTGGAATGTTTTAAATTAAATGCAACTTTGTCATTAATGTTGTCTTAGCAATGAATTGGTATATTCTCTGTTGTTCTGTTCATCGCCAGTTTTCAAATGTGGCTCCAGTGTGTTTACAACTTTGGCTTCAAGGTAATTCAATCTCCTATAGTTTCCCTAGGCCAGTCAAGTTTGAGAATGAGGTCTCCATAAATGGCCCATCCTAGGAGAGAGGACCAAGTGATTTGTGGTTTGGAAGCACTGTGGTATGTTTGAACACTTGCGAAGTTAACAGTCACTGAGTATTCTAATCATGCACCAACCACTCTTCGCCCTAAATGCTCTACAAGTTATTGCAGTAATTTGCATCACCTCTAGATAGGGTGATTTTTAGTCAAGTCTACTGTGATGCTGATCTAAACAATGAGACTGGAATCTCCTATGGCAGCCTTGGAATATCAAAAGGGCTTGAAAGTATTAGGGTTTTTGTCTTGGTCACTTTGTGGTTTCAGTTTGTCCATTTCAAGTCCAAAACAGCTGAGGACATGTTTCATCTAGTTCGTCAGACATACTTGGAGGCCACTGAGGTCTCTGCTATGTTTGTTTTCAAAGCAGAACTCAAGCTGTTTAGGTTTTTTTCTTTTTTCTTTTGAGAACATTGCACTAAGCTTTTGTCTAATATACACAAGAATCACATTGAGTAGGTATTTTATCTATGTCCATTCAATATACTAAGCAGGTAGGACCTCTTTAGGATTTAATTTACCTATATCATTTTAACTGTTAATGTTGAAGATATAATGGCTTAAGTATTGGAAGATTGAACCATTAAAATATGAAGTAGTATGAATTTAAAACGCTGTGAAGTACCCTATGGGAACTCAATTGTTTAGCCTTTTCTATACCATTCAGGCTAAATTGACATGTTGAGCATGGTATGCTTTTAGATGAGGTAGAAATATATCTAATATGGAAAAAGTTGGGTTTAGCAAACTGCTTACTTGATATGTAAACACCAATTTTAAAAAAGATTTGAGGCAATCTTTAATTTACTATGGTAGGTTATACTAACTTTTCCTTTCCACAGTGTGTGTTCAAAAGATATACTTAAGAAATGTAACCTTTTGTGAAAGAAACTATTCCTTTTTCATACTTGGACTAGCAATGACTTAATACCAGTCAGTTACATTGTTGTTGTTGTTTTTTAAATAAGATGGGGTTTCAACATGTTGGTCAGGCTGGTCTTGATCTCCCAACCTCAGGTGATCCACCTTCCTTGGCCTCCAAAGTGCTTGGATTACAGGTGTGAGCTGCCACGCCCTTTTTTTAAAAAAAAAGTTTTTTTTTTTTTTTTACATGTTCGTCTTTATTTTTTCTACTCATATTTGGCCTCCCCCCCACACCCCACCTTTTTTCTTTATGGACCTGATTTTTGTGCTTTGAATAGAGACACTGTTGGGAGAAGTAATTTCAGATGCAGTTGAGGGTGTAAAAAAGGATGTGCTAGACTGTATGTTTACCTCAGGTCTGTTAGTATTTCAGTTAGATCAATAAAAGGAAATATTTTGAGCAAAAGTTCTTTAGAAATACCTTCATTGTACTAAGTATTACCTTGGTAAACAACTCAGTAAAAACTTTTTCAGAATCCGTGTAGAATACTGAGCTCATAGTAGAACCATAACTTTACCACACCTATCCTTCCTAATGGCTGGCCACCTAGGACAAACTAAATGCCTAGTACTTATTAGTTCACATTGATACTCTTGAAGATGTGAATTTCTGGTGGGTACTCTACTTCTGAGACAAAAGTTATGTTCTCTCAAAATAAGTACAGGAAAATCTGAGCAGGCTGAAGGTGTTGGCTAATGGAAAGAACGTAGAAAGTTGCTGTTGATGAGGGAGCACCCTTGGTCTGCCTTTGAGAACTGCTGCACTTCATGAGTCCTGACCCTTTATCCTCTATTTTAAGCTTTCGATGGAATCTAAATCTATTTTTGCAAACATGTCTTCCATTCACTACACTTTATCTATTTTTTAGCCTCCATATTTTTGCTCATACTGTTCCTTCTGCTTGGAATCTTGTCCCCATCTGTCAAAATCTCATCTATTCATTACTGCTTACATTCCACAATTTAATTTCTACCCTCTCTATGGCACCTTCCTCCTGTTACATACTACATCACACTTCAGTAATGATATTGGTGCTTCTATTATCCCCTCCTATGTTGTAGGAAAAGGGGTTGTGTTTTTTTCTGATGCCCTGCTTTCATGGTATACCAATTTGCCATAATAGATTTAACATATAGCGAGTGGAAAGGCAGGTATAGGAAAATTTAGAATCTGAATAGAAAACTGGAGTTAATATAGGTATGCATATGATGCTTTATATAATAAAATATATTCTAGTTCTTCCTGAGCGCATTTTAAACTTTGAAAGAAGACCAAAATGCTTTCTCCAGACTAAGGAAACATTAAGAAATCATCCCAAAACATGTACATAGCAGTTACCTGGAGACCCACTAAACCAGACTTCAGTCATTAAATAGGGACCAGAGTGGCACTTTTCTGAACAACATCCAGAGCTGAGCAGAAGGGGTACTGTGCTGGCCCTTTGAGCAGTAGCTAAGACATTCCTGGCATGACTGCTGTAGCTCATGGTCCTGTCATGCCAAAGACCAACTGAAGAGACATGTGAGGCCAAGTGGGTTCTATGAAGCACAGTCGTGGAGGCCTTGTCCCATAAACTCATCTGGCTAGTTTGCACAGATGGTTAAGTCAGGAATAAAAGGACTTCAAGACAAGCAGGAGCATCTGCTTTTTTGGAGAGGGGACAGCTATGTTGACACATTTCCTTTGTAATTTCATTTTCCTACTTCATGTCCAGAGCTTGGGTGGGAGTAAGGAACCGTTAGAAACTGATAAATCCAACTGCTATGGAAAAGAACCTTTTGTTTAGAATCTGAGCTCAAATGTCCCATCCTCCCAGACCTTGAATTGATTGTCTCTTGGATTCTGCTGAATCAAAGCATATATAATATCCCTGTTGATAAAGACAGTGTTTTCTGAATATAAGAAGTGTTGAAGCCATAGGAGTGTGGAAGCATTTCAGAAACATTTCCAGGGTGAGGTCTTGTTTGAGGGTGAATATGGAGAGAGCTGGCCCAACTCCAGCCACATCTCCTATAAAATTGTTTCTTTTTATTGTAGTCAGTTAGTGGTATGATTTAGATAAACCCTCTGGTGGTGTGGAATGGTCCCATGTTTTCTGCTGTAGCTGTACCTGGAATAACAGGGACACACCAGGGAAAACATTGTTAATTCTTACTGGAAGTTTCTCATTATGACTAAACTGGGAGTGGAGGAGGGGGAAGCAGGGAGGAGTCATTACAGTTATTTCTCTTAAGGATATTTCACAAGTTCTGCTCTGATGCATTTCCGATTCTTGCAGAGGCTTTGGTAGAGTTCAGACAACTGCCATGAGAAATGGGTCACAGCCTTCATAGGATATACATGCGAAAACACCAGTGTGGAATGTCGTCCTGATGTGTGATGGGATTCTCAGGTGAGAAGCTAGTCTTAGAGGCAAGTCCCTTGGTGCTGTGAAATACCTTGACTTTCAAGGAAAACGATTAAGATAATCTCCTCAAGGGCCAAG